AAATTCAGGTAACTGAAGCATACAGAACTCCAAATAACTTCACCTCAATTAAAAACACATTGAGACATAAGACTCAAGATCACAGATATCCAGCAAAAGAACAATATACTGAAAGCTGCTAGAGAAAAGAAACATCACATTTAAAGGAAACCCATCAGAATTACAGCAGACTCCTCATCGAAAACCATGAAGGCTAGAAGAGCATAGATCAGACTACTTCACATCCTCTATGAAAACAAAATTCAGTCCAGATTACTATACCCTGTAAAACTCTCTTTTAAGTTTGATGGAGAAGTGAAATACTTCCACGAGAAAGAGCAACTAAAGAATTTCATAATGACAAAACCAAGCCTACACAGCCTATTAAAAGATGTTTTAGAGAAGGACCAAAATGATCAGAACTCCATGAACAAGAATAGAAGGAACCCACTAAATATGGAAAACAATTAAACACAGGAGAAAAAGGAGTAAACAGCAGCAGGTAGGTAACAGGTTGATTATAAGTCCACACATCTCAATTGAAACCATCAATGTAAATGAACTCAATTCTTCAATTTAACAAAATAGACTGGCACAGTGGATAAGAAACAAAATCCAACAATATTCTGCATACAAGAAACACACTTAACTCATAAAGAAATTCATAGGCTGAAAGTCAAAGAAAGGAAAACAATACTATATGCCCCAGCACCTCAGAGAAAAGCAGTGGTAGCAAATCTGTTCTCAGACAGTCTCAACTTTAAACTAAGAATGAGTAAACAAAATAAAGAAGGCCACTATATACTGGTTAAGGGGAAAATTCAAGAGGAACAGATAACACTCATAAATATGTATTCACCATACATGTGAGAACCCAACTATATAAGACTAATCCTAACGGACATGAAAAAATCTATTATCCAATAGCACAATCTTTTTTTTTTTTTTTTAGAAAATGTCCTAAAATGTGCATTTTATTCCATATCATTATACAATGTTTACATATAGTTATAATTATGAAGAAAATGCTTTTTTCTTCACCAATGTCATGTAGTGCCTCAATCTTTCACTTGAACGTGGAGATTTGCAAAGAGTGGAAATCCT